TACTAATCAAACATCCCAGTCCTCAAAAAAACTGATCCATTAAAAATAACTGGCTTCAAAAATGCTGCAAATGAGAAAAAAAATATGAGTATCTATAAATGTCCATGTACCATTAAGGTCACAAATAGAGAAAAAGGGTGGGGGAAGGAAAAAAGAAAAAAGTAAAAACAAACAAACAAACAAAAAACAAAACAAAACCAAAAACAAACAAACAAACAAACAAACAAACAAAAACAAGAGAGAGAGAAATCTCAATAAGCCAAAGAACTGTTTCCATTGGAGTTCACAAGATTCTCAGTTTCTCTTCTAAGCAGTTTTAGGTGGGGTCATCTGGAGTGTGATGCTCCACCCTCTGGATTGCTGGAGTGAGAGAGGTAATCCTGTAGGTGGAATTCCTGGAGGTGGGGTTTAGCCTTAGGTGGGCTCCAGGGTCTTCACTGAATGCCAGTTGGTCTGGAGATTTTAAATTAGCACACCTCCAGGGCCCAGTAACTGCTGGTCCATGTTGGAAGACTGGGTTCCATTTATGTGGTGGAGGAGCCAATTCTTAGTCCCCTATGTTACCTGTGCCTCCCCAACCCCACCCATATTTCCTGGTCTTAGATTTAGTCTCCAAACTCAATCTCTCTCACCCCAATCCTTCTGAATTAAATTTCCAGCAGATGTATCTCTCCCAGCCAGTCCTGCAACCAGCAGGTTGGAGGGGGAGGTGTAGAGACCTGTGGGTTTCCATGACCAGCTGACCCTGTGTAAACCTCTCTCCATGTTTGATTTTCTCCTGGTCACTGAAGCACTCTCCATGTCATGCAGTATGTGTTTACTGAGCCTGTGTTTTGGGGTAAACTCAGGTTTGCAAGGGATGAGCTTCCTCAGTTACCTGCCCCCGCTCTGTGGCTGCAAAATGGTTCCTTCTTTTGTCTTCTGCACTCCACCTGGAAAGATGGCGGCTTCTTTCTGGCACAAGGATATTGTGCAAAGTGCCTTCCCAGTTTGCTGGACAATGTCCTTGATCTCTAAATTGTCTGGACCCAGACATGCCTCAGGCCACTAAAAATGTGGGTTCCTTTAATTTCTTTATCCTTCCATTTTGCTCCCAGAGGGACCACTTTGGCTGGTGCTTCTGGCCCGGCTTCGGCAGCAGCTGCTGTGCTGGAGATTTCTCTCTTATTATATCTAACCTCCTGGGTCCTAATCTGCTTCGAATGTCCAGTTTCAAATTCCAGTAAAGTCCTCCCCCACTTTTTTTTTCTTTTGTTCACCCACCTTCTGAGAAACTGCCTGTCTGCTTTCTTGGTTTTAGCCCATGGAACAGTCGGGAAAGCCTGCAGTTTTTGTTACTACAGCTCTGCGGTATAAGTTGAAATCAGGTATTGTGATATCTTCAGCATTGCTCTTTTAGCTTAGAATTGCTATTCTGTTTTGTTTTGGATTTTTAATTCTTCCAAATGCATTTTTAAGACTTTTTTTCCCCCTAGTTCTGTGAAGAATGTCTTTGGTATTTTAATGGGAATTGCATTGAATCTTTGTATTGCTTTTGATAGTATGGCCACTTTAACAATACTGCCTATCCATGAACATGGGAGGTCTTTCCATCTCCCTTGTATTCTTCAATTTCTTTCTTCAAAGTTCTATAGATTTCATTTTAGAGGTGTTTCACCTCCTTGGTTAGATTTATTTCTAGTTTTTTTTTTTCCCCATGGGGGAGACTATTGTGAATGGGGTTGTTTTCCTGGTTTATTTCTCTGCAGATTCATTATTGGTGTGTAAGGAAAGCTATTAATTTTTTATGTTGATTTTGTAGCCTGCTACTTTGTTGAATTTTTTTTATTACCTCTAGCAGTCACCTGGTGGAGTTTCTTGGGTCTTCAAAGTATAGGATCATATTATCTGCAAATAGTGATAATTTGACTTCTTCCCATCCTATTTTTATGGATTTTATTTCCTTCTCTTGCCTAATTGCTCTGCTAGAAATTCGAGTATTATATTAAATAGGAGTGATGAGAGTGAACATTTTCATCCTGTTTGTACCTGATTTTAAAGGAAAATCTTTCAGCTTTCCCCATTCACTGTGATGTTGGCTTTGGGATTTGGGTATATAGTCTTTATGATGTTGAGGTAGATTTATTCTATTCCTGTTTTCTCTCGTGTTTTTTTTTTTTAAATCATGAATGGGTGATTAATTTTGTCAAGGGCTAAATGACTTTGTGATTTTTGTCCTTAAGTCTATTTATGTGGTAAATTACATTTATTGATTTGCATATGTCTAACTGTCCTTGCATCCTTAGGATAAAGCCTACTTGGTCATGATGTAAAATCTTCTTAATATGTTGTTGAATACGGTTTGCTAGCATTTTGTTAAAAATTTTTGCATCTACATTCATCAGGGATATTGGTCTTCCCTTGATATCTGGTTTTGGTATGATGGCATTACGGACTTCATAGAATGCATTTGGGAGTGTTCAATCCATTTTTATTTCATGGGATAATTCAACGAGCATTGACATTAGTTCCTCTTTAAATGCCTGATAGAAGTCAGGTGAGAATCCATCTGATCCTGGACTTTCCTTTGTTGAAAAGCTTTTTATTACTACTTCTATTTTCATTGCTAGTTATTAGTCTATTTAGGTTTTCTATGTCTTCTTGATTCAATTTTGGCAGACATATGTGTCTAAAAACAAAGCCATTTATTCTAGATTTTCCAATTTACTAGAGTATAAGTTTTCAAATTAGTCTCTAATTATCCTGTGGATTTCTTTGATGTCTGGTTATTTCTCCATTTTTCACCTCTAATTTTATTAATCTGTATTTGACTGAGAGTTTATCGATCTTGTTTATCTTTTCAAAGAAGCAACTCTTCATTCCATTGATCCTGTATATTTTTTATTTTAAATTCCATTGACTTTGGCTTTGATCTTAATTATTTCCTTTCTTCTACTGGCTTTGGAATTGGTTTGTTCTTGCTTTTCAGGTGCCTAGAGATATATTCTTGATTGTTTTTTGCAGGTCTGATTTTTCTTACACAGGCACTTGTAACTACAAACTTTCTTCTTAGATCTACCTTCTAGTGTCCCAGAGGTTCTGGTATGACATATCACTATTCTCATTTGATTCTAAGATTTTTAAAAAATTTCTCCCTGTTTTTCTTCTATCATCCATTCATCATTCAAAAAGTATTATTTAATTTCCATGGGTTCATATAGTTTCTTTAGGTTTATTGGTGTCAATGTGTAAGTTTATTTCATTATGTTTAGATAAGGTGGAAAGGATTATGTTAATTTTTTGTATTTTCTAAGATTCCCATTGTGACCCAAAATATGGTCTATTTTTGAGAAGGTTTCATGAGTAACTTGATCAGCTGTTGTTGGATCAAATTCTATAGATGTCTGTTAAGTCTATCTGATTTCTAATAATTTTTAGGTCCAAAAAGTATTTCCTGAGTTTATGTCTGGGTGGTCTATCTATTGGTGAAGGGAATATGTTGAAATCACCCAATATTAGTGTACTGGAGTTTATCTGAGACTTTAATTCAAGCATTGTCTCTTTTATGTGACTATATTCAACAACATTTGGGGCATACATATTTACTTACATTATGTCTTCTTCTTGGATTATTCCCTTTACCAGTAGGAAGTGAACTTATTTGTCTCTTATTAATTTTGGCTTTCAGACTGCTTTGTTGAATATGAGAGCACTCCTGCTTGTTTTAGGGCTCCATTTGCAGGGTATATCCATTTCCATTCTTTCACTGTCAGCCTGTGACTCTTTCCCTGTAAGGTGAGTCTCTTTCATACAACATATAGTTGGATCTTGTGTTTTAACCCATTCTGTCAGTCTATGTCTTTTAATTGGAGAGTTGAGACCACTGTTATAACAAAAAAATCTATTGTTACAAACAAATTTTTATTAATTCCTGCCATTTAGATTTATTTCTAATGTTTAATATGGTCCTGTTCCTCATTTGTTTAGCTACTCTTTAAATAATATTTGTCCATTTGTGTGCTTTGGGGTTCGTTTTTGATGTCTTCTTTGCCAAGTACTTATTTTCTGTGGTGTCAGCTTAGTAGTCATGAATTAATTTGTTTTCTGCTTATCACAGAACACTTTTATTTCTTATTTGATTCTGAAGGACAGCTTTGCTGGATATAGCAATCTTGGTTGACAGTTATTTTCTTTCACAGCTTGGAACATATCATTCTAAGCCCTCCTGAATTTTAGATTTTGTGCTGAGAAATCAGAAGTAACTGACTGGTTTGCCTCTAAATGTGACCCAAGTTTTTTCTCTTGAGGCTTTCGATATTCTATCTGTTCTGTATGTTGGGCATTTTAATTATAATGTGTCATTTTAATTATAATGTGTTCTTTTTTGAGGTTCCTGTCTTTTTGGAGTTCTGAATGAACCCTATATCTGGATGTCCATTTGATTTTCAAGGTTTGGAAAAATTGTGTATTATTATTGCCCTAAAAAGGGTCATGCCATTAGGACATATTACATAGTCTTCTTCAATTCCAGTGGTTCTTAATCATCGTCTCTTAATGTTGTCCCAGAGTTCTTATATTCTCTAGCTATGGTTACTTCTTTTCTTTTCTTCATATTGTCTGAATGTTCAAGGCCAAACACTTTGTCTTTCAGTTCTGAGATGTTGTCTTCAGCATGCCTACTCTATTAAATAAAGACTCTCAACTATTTATTTATTTATATCTCTATCTTCTTATTGAATTTCTTATTCATATCCTGAACTGGCCTCCTTAATTTATTTAGCTATTTTTTGGTGTTCTCTTGAAACTTATTGATCATTTTTATAATCATTCTTCTGAATTCTTTATCTAATATTCCTTTCACTTTAATATCTTCAGATTTGTTGCTGGTGAATTACAAATTTTAGGAGGCATCAGTTACCTTTTTCCCCCCATATTTTTTGTATTCCTGTGATTTCCCCCACCCCCACCCCAAAAAAAACTATCAGCAAAATTCAGCTTTTTATTGAACATGTTATAAGAGTTTAATCAAAAAGACCAAATCCCATGTAATCATTGGACTCCTCAAATTCTTCCTTCTTTGCTTGCACTTTCTTCTCCTCAGCTGAGGAAGCTGTTGTGGTGGGGACAGGACCTCCTGATGTTGCCACACCAGCTGCTGGAGCAGGCCCACCAGCACCTGTGTTGCAAATGAGGCTCCCAGTGTTAACATTGGCCAGGGCCTTTGCAAGCAAATCATCATTTACACCAGGTTTTAAAATGAGGGCATTGATTTTATCCTCCATGATGGTCACCTTGTTGTCATGCTGGATGAGGACAGAGTATAAACAGGACAGGACAGATACAGAGGCCAAGTCATGGACTGCTTTATTGGATGAAGTGAGGGCCTCACCCCAACATGGCCTTAGCTTCCTCAGAAGGACCATGTACTTTGGTGGCAGCAGAGGACGGAAGACTCTGTTGGGCTTTATGATCTGTTGGGATGGGTTTCTCACCCACTCTTATATGTAGGACTTTTTAGGGGACTGACTTCTCTTGCCAAAGTGACCTGGAATGACCTAGATTGAGACTCCTCAGAGGTGTGATGTTCGTAGACTTTGTGCTAATTCTCTGTTGAATTTTGCTGTAGAAGTGAATGTCCATGAATGGGATCTGAGAGACCTCCTAACCATTCCTACTTGGGCCTGGTCATTATCTTTTTCTTTTTTTTTTGAGGTGGGGTATTAGGGATTTAACAGAGGGGTGCTTCACCACTGAGCTATATCCCCAGCCCTTTTAAAAATTTTTAATTTTGAGGCACGATGTCACTAAATTGCTTAGGACCTCACCAATTTGCTGAGGCTGACTCAAACTTGCAGTCCTCCTGCCACAGCCTCCCAAGTCACTGGGATTACAGGCATGCACCACTGTACCTGGCTTAATTTGAGGGATTTCATCTCTTCTGTTCTTTGTATTAAAGAATCACTGAAGTTTTGAGTGTGATTTATCTGTGTGAATCAGATAAGTATTCTCTTGGCTGGATTTAGGTCAGCAGCAGAGTCTCTACCCTGTGAACTTGTGTTCCTGTAGACTCCGAGCACCGCTCAGAAAAGGGGAAACACAATAACAACAACTGGAACAAACAATACGCAGCATTAAAATAAATATCCAGTGCCTCCTACAATATCTACAACACTAGTTACCACAAAAACAGGAAAACGAGGTCAACAATTGCTAATAGAAACGAAAACCATGAGTTAAAGTAAACAGTAGGTGTCAACTGTGCCATCCACAGAACTAATAAGTGCAACAACATGAATGATGGGGGCAGGAGCTATGAAAAGCAAATCTAAAAGATTTACAGTTTACTAAGAGAAAGGAAAATGTGATAAGAAAGTAAAAGAAAGTTTAGAATGTTTACAATGTGAACCAGAAAAAATGCAGAACAGATATAGCAAGTGATGATTATAAAGAAGGAGGAGGAGAAAAAATAGAAAAGACAAAGTAAATGAGGGGAGAGAGCAAGAGCAAGAGTTTGACTGTCAACAGGAGAAGAAAGGATAAATCGAGAGAAACAAGAGAAAATAAACTAAAATCCCAACCCTCAAAAGACAAGGAAAAATAATCATTCTAAAAATTGCCAAAAATGAAAAAAGAGACAAATATGTATATATGTGTGTGTGTGTGTGTGTGTGTGTGTGTGTGTGTGTGTATAAATCAACAACACAATATGAACAAAAAAAGTAAAATGATTCTTCATGAAATAATTTTATCCAGTGAGGTGGTCAAAACCAGGGTTAAGGATGAATGGTCACTGCCTTCTTTCCATTTCTTCTTGGGAGAGAGAGAGAGAGAGAGAGAGAGAGAGAGAGAGAGAGAGAGAGAGAAAGCTGGAGAGTGTTTACCTCTTCTTCTTCTTGAATTGCTTACCAAGGTACCAGTTGGAGTGGCCAAAACAAACTGGTTGAAATAGCTCAGCTTTTCTTCTTACCTGTATAAGGTAGGGTCCAGATAGATGTTGACCTGTGCTAGGAGTCTCTATCTCAGGAGGCTCCCAAGAATTCTACTCATGGGGGAAGGAAACCACCCCTCCACAGGTCTCACACACTCTGCTGCCCAAGAATGTGGCCTTCTCAAGAGTAGCCCCCAAGTACATTCATACCTGCCTATTCAGTTTCCCGATCCTCTTCAGCGGGTCAGGTGGACGGCCAGACTCAAAGAAGTTGCACACCCCTCCATGTTTCTGACTTGAATCCCCACTGAGTACAATCTTCTCTGTGCCTGTTTCACTCACATTCTGCTAGGTACATCCTAGGCCACACAATAGGCCCTTTGGGGACAGGATGGCTATGTTTGCTATAATGTTCCGGCTCCCACAGCAGCAAGCTCCTCAAGATGGCCTATGCCCCCGCTTTCTACCTGCTGATTGAGAAATAGCATTTTTCAAACACTAGTTTACTGTGCAGTTTCTGGATCAACTAAGTTCCGGTTGCTTTTCTAATCTATAGGTTTTTCTGTGCCAGATTTATCCATTGTGTTTCTCTCTGTTGATATTATCCTTCCCCTCTGCCGTGAACCAGTGCCACTCCCACTGCCACAATCGACTTAGCTCCAATGTGTTCTTTTTTTGTTCTTTGTTCAGTGAACCCAACTTTCTGAATCTCTAAGAGATTCTGACTATCTGATATTGAATATAAGTGAATTCCCCCTTTTACCAACCTCACTGAGAAGCAGTATTCTGGCAGCTTGGATCCAATTCATGGAGCAACTAGAAACACAGGCTTCCTCTATTCTACCATCTTCCCAAATCATCCATTTCAAATCAATTTTTTGCACATGGTGCAAGAAAAGTATCCCATTTCATTCTTTTACATAGCTTTCCCACCATGGTTTATTGAAGATATCCTTTTACTATTGATATTCCCAGTGGGTGCACTTGTCAAAGTTTAGTTGGTTGTGTATGAATGGGTTTATTTCTGGGCTCCTAACTGATTCTGTTCCATGGGTCTATAGGTCTTTCAATTACTATAATTTGAAATTAAAAAAAAAGTAAGAGTGTATAATGCTTTCAGTTTTATTCTTGCTCAAGGTGGGCTTGGCTATTCAGAGTCCCTTGTGATCCTGTTTGTATTTTAGGGTTATTTTTACATTTCTGTGAAAATATGACATTGGGATTTTGATATGGATCGCACTGAATCTGTAAATCACTGAGGAAACTATGGAAATATTAGCAACATCATTCTCCCAATCCATGGACACAGAATATCTTTCTATTACTTGTGTCTTCTTCCATCTCATTAATCAAAACTTTGCAAAATATATAATGTTTAGTGTATAACTCTTTCACCTCCTTGGTTAAATTAATTCTAAGTCTTTTATTATTTTTTATGCTATTGTAAACTGGATTGTTTTCTTAATTTCTTTTTTTCAGAAATTAATTCATTAATAATTTATTTCATATTAATTCATTAATAATTTTTGATCTGTTCAAATTTTCTATTTCTTTATGATATAATCTTGTTTCTTACAACTTGTTTCTTATAATTTATCCATTTTGTCTAGGTTATTCAACTTGGTGTTTAATCATACATAGGAGTCTTTTATGATCCTTTGTATTTCAATTGTATCAGTTATAACACCTTCTCGTTCATTTATAATTTATTTAAGTCCTCTCCCTCTCTCTTATTATTGTGTAGTCTAACTAAAGTGTTGTTAATTTCTTTCAAAAAACCAACTCAGTTTCATTGATGTTTTCTAGTTTCTATGTAGACTTTATTATTCTTACTCTAATATTTATTATTTCCTTTCTTTTGCTAACTTCTGACTTACTTTGTTCTTCTTTTCCAGTTCCTTACGGTTTATATTTAGGTTTGTTTGAGATACTTTTTTTCTTCATGTAGGTGTTTACTGCTATAAACGTTGTCTATAAGAACTGCTTTTGCAGAATCCTGAGAATAATTTCTGGTTTGCTATATTTTGTGAGAAACATGCTCACCTGTCCAAATCCAAAGAATGGACTTAGAGACATGAAGTATAGCAAAAGTGGAGCTTTTTACTGATGGTCTTGCAAGACTGCATGTTTGGGTGAACGGACACCCAGAGCTGTTACAATCAGCATTTTATTCCCTAGTACGCACAGTCCTTCCCTTGACTCCTCATTGACTGAGTACCATGGGGTATAGTGCCTAGGTTTTACTTATGTCCTATTGGGTTATTTAAAGAAATGTACCTTCAGTTGCTCCCACCTCCCTTGTGCTGGGAAGGCCTTCTTGGGTTGAGTGCATTTGGGCATACCCTGCATTTTATCCTTGTTGATTAAGTTGGCTCCTTCCCTCTTCCCTTCTATTCTCAAGGGGCTGTGAATTTTTCACATTCTGGTGTTACCTGCTTGTAACTTTCCACTGTGTTCTCCCCTTCTGCTGCTTTTCTTAAGTGTCAAGGAATTTTACATTTAAGGTGACATACTATACTTTGAAAATGGACCAACAGACTTTCTGTTTTTCACATGTTTCTATTTTGATTTATCTCAAAATACATTTTTTTGGGGGGGGGCAGAGTACTAGGGATTGAACTAAGCTGCAATCCCAGCCCTCAAGATACATTTTATTTTGCCTTTCTACGTCTTCTTCTTTGGCCCATTTGTGTTCTTTAACTTCCACGTATTTGTGAATTTTCTAATTTTCCTCCTGTTTTCAATTCCTAGTTTCATATACCATTGTGTTTGGAAAAGATACTTGATAGATTTCAATCTCTTTAAGTTTGTTAAGACTTCTTTTGTGGCCCAGTATATGATCTAGCCTGGAAAATATTCTGTGTGCGCTTGGAAAGAGTGTCTATTCTACTACGATTGGATGGAATGTCCTGTAAAAGGTTCATTTGGTCTATAGTGTTATTCAAGTTCACTATGTCTTTGATGAGTTTCTGTCTGGATGACTTAGCCATTGTTGAATGTGGGGCATTAAAGTATTCTACCATTATTATATTCTCATCTCTACTCTCTTCAGTTTTGTTAACCTTGCTCATGTGCTTAGGTGATCTGATGTTGGTGCATCCTATTTACAACTGTTATATCCTCTGGATGAATTAACCCCTTTGTCATTATAGACTAACCTTCTTTGTCTATCATGATAAATTTTGAACAAAAGACAATTTTGTCTGAACCAAGTATCGCCATTCATGCTCTCTTTCAGTTAACATTTGCATGGAATATTCTCTTCTCTTTAGTCTTTGTCCTTAAGACTGTAATAAGTCTCAAATAGGCAGCATATTATTGGATCTTGTTTTTAAATACATTCAGCCACTCTGTGTCTTTTGTTTGGAAAATATAGCCCATTTTCATTTAAAGTAAGTATTGATTAATACATAGTTAACTTCTTTTTTATGTTGAAATTATTTTCTGACTGGTTTATAGTTGCTTTGTTACTTTATTTCTGTCTTCTTTTGTATC